TTTCAAATTAATCTAATTCCACACTTTATTTTATGGATGAAGAAACAGGCCCAAAGAGGTTAAATTCGTCTTCTAATTTCTAAAAGCTCATTGGTAGTTATCAGAATTCCAACAGGAAATGGGATAGTTTGAGTTGGATTTATTTACAAAAAAGACTAATTACAAAGGTATGGAAGGGGTATAGGAAAGCTTCAAGGGATTGTGCAGGAACTTGGGGTTTAGCAACTTCAGAGCTGTCAGCATTTCCAGGTGCAAAAGAACAAGGTGAAGGACAGGAGACCCTGTAAGAAAGTGAGTCCTATAGGATCTACCACCTTGACTTCCTGTTGAGAAACATAGCCAGTCTGAGGCCACTCCTAGAGTCCCAATATCCTTCCTCCCTCAGATCCCCTGCTTGGACTCCCCCATTGACCTACCCCAGTTGGTAAACAGAAAGCAAGGGAGCCCCTCTGTTTTAATTCATACAGATTAGCCTATGAGGCAGAGATTATGGGATATGAACGGAGAGTGGATCTGAGAAAACTCAGGAACAGATAGCAAAGTCAGGATTTGAATTCATATTCTTGCTCCTACTCTACCCTACCCTACCATCCATTCAAATATTTGCCTACATCCACAGATCTTATATTTGTAGAAATACTTTATGGCCCAGGATGATGTTAGCTTCCTCTGGAGTCAATCTTGATTACCAAATGCTTGGAATTACCCTAATCCAATTTCAGAGTTTGAGCCTTTTTCCTAGGTTACTCAGATGTCTGGAGGCAGGGTTGCTATCCAGGTAAAGGCCATTTTACTTCCAGTCCATCCTGACTTGTAGGCTATCTCATCCTTACTTTTGACCTTCCAGGTGTTGTCAAAAATGCAGTTTAGTCTCTCAGCGGCTTAATTCAGATGCACAAAAATTGCCAGGCCAGAAGCAGCCCTGATTGTAGGCACACCCTCTGGATCCCTGTCATCTCTTCCAGAATCTGGCCAGATAGTTCCTCATTATCTCAGTTCTTTTATGCATGTATTTTCATTATTATTATTTTAAAAATTTTGTCCAGCATTCTTAGTCCTCTTCAGTGAGAGGGTTGATCAGAATTACCTAACCTGTGATAATCAGAGAGGGAAATCTCTCCTTGATACAATATTTCTCCAGTTTTTTTATTAGGAAAATTCTTCGCCCTACCTACAAGTGTTCTCAAGGTATCCCAAGGCCCATCTCTAAATGGAAGTGGGATGGACTCTGACTGAGATTATGTTTCTGAACAGTAAACTTCAGTTCTGCTGCCAAACCTTTTACATACATAAAGATATATGTATAGCATCTTTATGATATTATAATTCTGTCATTTACCAACTGTGATTTAATCTTTGTCAAAAGCTTCGGGGGGGGGCGGCCGAGTGGCTTGTTGGTTAACAGTTGACTTGGGAGCATGAGATCTGAGTAGCAGGGCCCTGGTTCCGATCCCACATGGGCCAATGACGCTGTGCCCTCTATAGCTAAGATGGTGAACAATAGCTAGACTTGGAGTTGGGCTGCCGTGAGTGGCCGGCAACAGCGTAGGCTGCAGTGGGGCTGCAGTGGGCTGCCATAAACTACTGTGAGTGACTGGCAGCCTGCGTGAGCTGCCGTGAGCTGGTGTGAGCGGCCATCCAATGACCAGTGACCCATCTGCCTCAGCTGGGAAGAGTGCAATGTTCACAATACCAACATGGGCCAGTGAAGCGATGTCCTCCACAACTAGATTCAAGAACAAAAGGACAGCAACTTGTCTGTTCCCCTTTCCCTATTCCTCAATGCTGTTCCCTCCCCCAATTCCCCAATAAAATTAAAAGAAAAAAAAGGTTCAGGAAGCCTGCTATTTGTGGATCTAAGCAACATGTTACCTCTCTATTTCCTTATGTTTCTTTTTGCCCTGATGCAGAATGTCAAGTTGTGAGTTTACAAAGAAATATAATCCTCTTGGTTTCTGCATTTATTAAAGCAATATAAATAGAAAGCATTATATCTGATTTGTATTATTTAGATTCTTCTGAAATGCCTTCATTGAGTTAATATTATCTTCTTGTCTTTTAAAAATATTAAACAAATTTGAGGAACATATTAAATTTTTACAAATCCATATTCAATTGCATTGTATTGCCCAATGTCCTCTATATCATATTCTAAGTAATAAAATATAGAATTCGATGTCAGAAAAAGACTCGATTCTTCATATGAATATGTGTACTCTTATGTGTTTTCTTTTTATTTTAGCAGCCAAACACACAGCTAAATTTAGCAATTAATTGAATTATGTATTTATCTCAGGTGCTTGATACCTTTTATTAGCTTCCTGATTGACAATTTAAAATTATATTTACCTTATTTTATATGTAACTTTCAATACTTTTTAGAATTAAGAGTACAATACAATTAAGTATATTGTATTTCCACTTATTTGAGGATACAAAGAAAGAGGCAAACTTGTCACGTAAAACAAAAGCTAGCTAGCTAGGAAATCCTTGCCCATTTCAAGCTTGAAATTAACCATTTTGCTTCTTCAAGAACAAACCTGAAAGCCCAAGATAGGCAATGATTTCACTTGTGTGCACCAATACCATATTAGATGCCCTTTTAGATTAGAAAAAGGCGCTCCTTTTATACAGACAAGTTGCAAACATGCACATCCTCTGGGTGATCCAATTAGAAAAAGGCTTTTATTTCTCCAGCTGGGCACCCTGGGCCAGGCTTGCAAGCTGAGGGCAGGCTGGGTACTGGCACCACATCTGTCCCTTCTGCCTACACACAGGCCTCACATTTAAGTTGTAAGTTGAACCATCTGAATTTATGCATATTTGATTATCAGCTATGAAAATGGAAATTTCATATGATTCAACCTGATACATGCCATGTAAGTTTAATTAGCTAAACCATACCATTTAAGTAGTGAGAGAGCCTTAGGACCAACTCCAAGCCGTCTTTCAGCATTGCATTGGGGTTTGGGTGCCCGTAATCAATAAAATCTTTAAAATTATTAAATCAATTCAAAGTAAAACAAAGTGAGCAAAAATAAAAAGATGGCTCTGATAAGACCTGGAAGGGAGGCAAAGCTGGTCTAAAAAGTTATGGTTTTTAGAAAATATCTTTATATAATTTTAGATCTCTATAGTAAAAATGCTATTGAGAATTTAGGCATTTTAATTTTCCAGACTTGATCTTAATGACTTTCCAGTGTTTATTGTTTTGCGTCAGGATGGGGTAGAGGATCATCTACTTCCACAGGAGTTTGGAGGTTTGACAAGTTGTTGGAAATACTAAACATTATATATCTATTAGTCCATCAACATTTTTTTTTTCAGCGTGATCACTGATTCCCTAAATACTTTCCTAATGACATCAAGTCCAAAAACACATGTGGATCACATAGATTCCAGTTGATATGAAGAGTATTAAGTTTCCTTACTATAAATTTACTTGTCAGTTTACAAACCTTTAGAAAAAGCTAATGTCACTTTGCTTCCTTGAGGACAACAGTTGTGTAGCTACTAGGTGGTTTTTTTTTAAATTACTATCAATATTTTTTTCCTGCTTTTAACTCTTTACTACTCAGCTGTTTCAGCCTTTGTTTTTCTCCCAAGCTTGAATGTAATTTGAATTATTTTTCTACCTTTTTCATAGAACTCATTAATCTCAGTTCTTGGAGATGGGAAGCCCCAAACCTGTCTACTTTATTTCCTTGCAATTTTCACTGGTTTTCCTAAAGTTATAGCATTCTGGAGTTCTCTGAGAATTTACACATCTATTTTTGCTCCCCACATAAGTAGATGCTTTTTTAATGCTCTTAAGCAATTCAGATATTTTCCCCCGCTGTGGTGCGATTTAAAAAACAAAGTAAGGAATTTAATTTCCCCCTTTCAACTGGTGGCTGATGATTGCCGAATCGGTTACAGACCTCATCTTCTCTCTCAAGTAAGTATATGGCACATGTGTGTGTTAGGGGGAGGTTAAGATCCTAAATGAGAAGGCTAAACCTCTCAGCAGTTGAAACTAATCAATTACTCATTAATGATAGTACAGCTGTTAAAAATTTTAAATGAAAAGTACAGGCGCACATCTGATTAAATTTAGCCTGCCAATTCTGGAGCGCCATTGTCACGAATAAAACCACCCTCCCCAATTCAGGCCCCAGTTCCAGAGCGCTGGCTGAAATCCTCCCGCTTTTGGCAACGCGGGCCTCCGGGCGCTGCCCCAGTCCTCCCAGGGCAGCCAGCGGTTCGAGACTGCGCTGCGGAGGCAGGGACCAGAAGAGGGCGCCGTGGCCGCGGTGAACGCTGCAAATGCTTCGGGTCTAGCTCAGAGGAGGACCCGAACATTCGCGAGAGACTTTTTATTTTTTGCGCCATGCTGTTGTCTCGTGCGGTCCGGGCTTCTGCTTACTCCAGATGTTCTTAGGTGGGGGCCCGGTTGGAGACGGCAGAGACCCTTGGCCCGCACAGCACTCGCGCTGCACGCGATCAGTTTTGTCTCGGCTCGTGATTCCCAGCAGCGCCCTCCCCTGGGGCGGGCCCGGACTCTTGGTGCTGAGACGAGTGGGCGGCAAAAAAGCCGGTGGCCCACAGGGTGAGCGGCTGCAAGGAGCGCCGAGGCTCCAGCGGCAAGGCTGGCGCCGGGACCAAGGGGCCGCGGCGATAGAAAGAAAAAGATCAGGGGAGGAAGAGGAAATAGAGCAGATGAAGGAAAACTGCCGCTGAGCCGCGAGGCGGATCCTTTCGGCTGCAGCTACCGCTGTTCCGGGACGCAGCCCATGGAGCGTGCCAGCCCGTAAGGTGTTGGCCAGGTAACCCCACCCAGAGGACGCTCTTCCTGGCCCCTCCCAGAGCGCCTTGCGCGGAAGGAGCCGGTGCCGCGCTGCGTGTGGCCAGCGCACGCCGCGCCTCAAGAGCGGCGCCCTTGAGCTGCACCGCGGAGCAGGTTTGTGAGTGACTTGTCCGCCCGCCAAGAAAAGGAAGCGCCGTCCCTTCCAGTTCAACCCGGCTTCCCCACCCCTTGTACTCTACACCCTGCAGCGGGCGAGCGGCGCGGCCACGGAGGCGCCGAGGAGGGGCGAGCCGCCGCCCGGCGGCGGTGTCCCTTCGGGGGAGAGGTCGGCTGAGAAGAGGCGGCGGCGCGGCGCGGAAGGCGCGACGCGCGATGGCAGCTGCTTAGCCCGGCGCGCACGGAGCAGCCCCGAGCTGTGGCTGGTCAGACAGTGCGGCTGGTCCGGGGGCGCCGCCGCCGCTGCAGCCGGGCCGGGAGACATGAGCACGGAGGCGGGCGAGGGCATCACTTTCTCCGTGCCACCTTTTGCCACCTTGGGCCCCTGTGCCTTCGCTGAAGGCGGCAGCTGCCGGAGGGGAGGAGTGGCAGCCGAGGGCGAGGACAACCAGCTACCACCGCCGCCACCGGGCAGCTTCTGGAACGTGGAGAATGCCGCCGCCCCTGGCACCGGGTGTCCCGCTGCCACCTCCGGGAGCAGCGCCACCCGGTGCCGGGGCAACTCTGGTGGCGGAGGCGGCCGACGGACCACAGTGGCATATGTGATCAATGAAGCGAGCCAGGGGCAGTTGGTGGTGGCCGAGAGCGAGGCCCTGCAGAGCCTGCGAGAGGCGTGCGAAACGGTGGGCGCCACCCTGGAGACCCTACATTTTGGTAAACTGGACTTTGGGGAGACCACGGTGCTGGACCGTTTTTACAATGCAGGTGCGTGTGTAACCCCTTCCCTATCCTCCACGGTCAGGGACCATGTTTTCCCTGGCCGTTGGAGGGGTTAAAAATGTTTTTTCTGGTCAGGAAAAAAAATAATTTTCTGGGCGGCAGGAGTGCTTCCTACTTATTTACTGCTTGCCCCAGTCGCTGCGCGACTGCCTCTGGCGCTCGCCGCTCTTGGGCGAGAGCGGGTGCTGGTGCAAGAGCCTGTGTGTATTTGTGCGACAGACCGAATGACACCCACCCGCCCGCGCTGGAGCCCTGGGGTCCATGTCTTCCTCATAAAGAACTTTTGTTCCTCAGCAGTGCAAGATACTGGCCCCAATCAGCCCTTCATTCAGTGCCTTGCTTTCTCGTGTGTTCGGTTTGGCCCATATTTTCCTTCTGTATCTACCTGTGACTGTTTGAGGTGACGTTCTCATTTGTGTGTGTGTATGTGTGTAGTTTTGAGAGTACAGACTTATGCCACACAGCTAGCTGTATGCACGCAATGTGTCTATATGAATTTGCATGTCATGTCATGATCTTCCCAACTCATTTTCTTAAGTTTAGTGGCTTGAATTTCCCATCTTTTATCAATTTGAACTTTTAAGTAATTCCAAAAGTAATAACCTTGTAAGTTACACTAAACTTATGTGATGTCTTTGTTAGGATTTCAGTGAAAGAACCAGGGTCTGTTTTTTATTACCCCATATACCATGATGGGCCGGAAAGTGTATAATTTAACGTTGTTTAAAATGCTGATTCGCTGTCTTGACAGCCAAGACTGAATTGGCCATTAAAATGATTGCTAGCATAATCCATGAAAAAAAAATGTATTTCAACCTGTCACAGATTTCAGAAAGTATTATTGTAGTTCTAGTGACTGAAGCGATTAGCTGTCCGTTAGCAAATGTTAGGAATAATAACATTATTGAAATTAACCATTAGCACCCTGTATAACCAATATTGAGAATATATACATGTTTATTTTTATAAGTATGGGCAGAAGATTTGGTCTAATGGTTTCAAACAGTAAGGTTCTTGCATTTGTGATCACATAAAAGGTTTTATTGGGTTGTAGGAAAGTCATGATGTATTTTTTCTATGTTTTTCATTGCAAAAATGCGTCATGACTTTTCCGACAACCCAGTATATTCTAATCTTGTTCTCAGTTCTGATTCTAAGTCTCTTCAGAACACCTGAAGTAGGCTTATGTCAGTTTTGGAATTCGGTCCAAGCTGAATATTTTAAGAACAAGAACTTCATGTTAAGGAAGCCAGACTAAATAAACTAGGACCTTGGTATTTTTTACAGTCTTGGTCTTCATAACTGAACATGAGTACAATATATCGTAGCTTGGTTCTTTGGGTGGCTTGCTATAAAAATGGCATAAACATAACTTTTCTAAAAATTACAGCATTTTTATTTTTGGATTATAATTTGGAAGAAACTTCGAAGAACTGAAAGATATGTGAGGGAAACACCCAGCCAAATAGAGTATTTTTACTGCACTGATAGGGCTCTGTGAAAATATCTTAAACTCAGCCGATTTGAAAGTCTTCTCTCAAGGCTCACTTACTGTTTATTCTCCAAATACTGTCTCTGGGAAAGGGAAAAAGATGAGAAGGGACTGTATCGCATTTAATCCTCCAAACAAGCTGGTGAAGGAAGTACCTACTTGCGTCTTTCTTAGGTGAGAAGACCAAGGGATCTGTAACTGGTCCCAGGACTCAGGTAGTAATTGGTCAGTGCTGGGAACCCACTTCTAGTAGCCGACTCTAAAAGGTCATGCTCACTGCCTCCATTTAGTTGAGCTGATTTTCTGTAAGAGTCAAGAGAAGCTCTCTATCTTGGACTTACATGACAATTGGTAGGGACCTTATGAGCCATGTAGGTGCAGTTGTGCGACAGCTGGGAGACTTGCTCTGGGAAGACCAGTGTTTATAGGCCAGCTGGGTCCCATTCCACTGCTTCCATCATCCTGCACAGGTCCTAGTTTAACCCCTGCTTATGTGAGTGACATGAACTCTGAAGATGTGCCACAATGAAGATGGGTATCAGTTTTGTACAAGCCCTTTGTTTTCCTAATCTGAAGGCAGCTGAGTTTAATGGTAGTAGAAGTTTGCTTCTGATGTCTATGAGAGTACTTAACTCCTCCTCCATCAGGATTTAGCAGATTTTTCTGTGAAGGGCCAGATGGTAAACAGTTTAGACTCTGCAGGAGGCCTTTTACAACTACTCAGCTCTGAGGTTGTTACAGGAGAGCAGCCCTAAACAGCACCTCAACAAATGATCTTGGCTGTCCAATAAAACTTGATTAACGGACACTGAAATTGGAATTTCATATAATTCACAAAATATTCTTTTAAATTTTCCCCCCAACTATTTAAAAATGTAAAAACCATTCTTAATTTGTAAGCTGTACGAAAACAGGCCTGGCAGGATTTTGGCCTCTGGGGCCCTGCTGACCTTTGCTGTATGTTCACCCCCTTCCACTAGAAAGCGGAATCAGTATGATAGAGTGGAAAGAGCACTGCCCCTCAACTTAGATCTGAGTTTTCATCCTGGCTCTGTTCTGAACCATGTAATTGTGAGCAAGGCCCTTCATCTCCTCCAAAGGCTTATTAACTGACCAGGGATGGAAGTGGAGGGGGAAGTTGAACTAAGCTTCTAAGATTCCCTCATTTAATCCTGTGAGTTTGCAAAGGTAAGGCCGCATGGCATGCTGGGACAGAGCATTGGAACAAGAGTTTCAAGATCTGGATTCTGTCCTTGGTTCTCTGATTGGGAGCAAGTCATTTCAAATCACAGAAAAGAGTGGAGGGTTGGAATAATTGGTTTCTCGGACTCCCTTCAGCTGTCAAATTCTGTGCTTCAAAATTAGAACTTTACTAATATAAACTGAATCATTTCAGTCCATAGACTTATATATGCCATGTCCCCCACCCCATGAGTTCAGAGTTGGTGGGGAGGGCAGTTTCAAAGCCTGGCTATATAGCAGGGCCTCTGAGAGGGTCCATACAGAATGCCTTGAACGCCTAGGAAACAGATTTTGGAATCAGACTGGTGGGTGGGGCGGGTTCAAAGGTGACACCTGAACTGAGATGGAACAGTAAGCAACTTAATGGGCAACTTAATGTGGGCCTCAACACGTAAAAGGAATTTTGGTGTTCAAATAGCTCAATTTAATGGAATGAATAAGAACTTAGTTGCATTATTTACACGCTTCTCCTATCTTTGTGTTCTGGCGTCTTTTTAAAGAATAGATTACAGTTAAGTTTTCACTGAATTCCCATTTGATTATTATTAACTGTAATCTAGTTTGTTCTTTAACTATACTTGTTCTTTCATTCCTGTTCTGAGGGGAAACTAATGTTCTATCAAAGCTTTTATGAAAATATATTTATATATACAAGACTATATCACTCAGGTGGCAAATGCCAAGCTAACAAATCCAGCCCCCTGCATTGTGGGCAGTAAATCTCTGTAAAAGCTAAGAGGTGTCATTGATGCAGATGTTAGTGATACAGAGCTGCTGCATTTAGGTAGACAGACCCCCACCTGGCAGGGTCTCAAAAAATTTTTTTTAATGAACATCATTTCTGTGAGGTGTACCTAAATAGGCTTTATTCCCCCATTTTGCTCATGAGAAAACTGAACATAAAGAGGTTATATTTATTCATATAGGTTAAATGCTTTAAGGTTGCTGATTAGAACCAGCAGCACACTTTGCCTTAGAAACAGTTTTCTAGATGGTAGTTAGATTGTGGGATTAGCCTACAAGACGCCATGTTAACTCAGTGTACTTGAATGTGAAACCCATCCACCATTTTAAACATTCAGGAAAATTAGGTTCCTAAAACGTGGGACTTTGAATACACTTGTCCTTGTGTTTAGGATCCATAACTTTTGCTTTCACCTAGCTTCTGGTAGCATCTTGGCTAGATGTAGGAACATAACTTTGGATTGGTGGTGATGAGAGGAGGGGCTGTGATGAGGTCAGAGACAAAGGAAGGATTGGGAGGCTATAGGAAGAGGAGGGAGGCTGGGCAGGGGAGAAGGATGCTCAGAAGGAGGAAGCCATGCCAGCACGGATCCCATTAACACTTTCTCCTCTTTCAGATTTCTACTCCTAGCCTTCTATTTATGGCCCTTGACTTCCTGCTGATGTAAGACCCAGGGACATTGGTCAGTTCAAGGCCACCTCACTCCCTCTCAGTGGGCACAGGATTAGGTCAGCTGCCAGCTTACCCTTTCCATGCCATTTACATACGCCTGGGCTTTTCTCTTAGCCAGGCTTACTGCAGATTGCAATCTTGGCTTTTTACCGTGTAGCAACAGTAGGTAACAGGAAAGAAACACATGCTGGTTGTAATTTTAAGAATTTAGCTGTTATATTTTAATCTGTATTATGGTCCCACTGTCCTTGGGCTTGTGATGAAAATCACTCACTTAGGCTATGTCCCTGGAGTGGCACCTGAACTTTCTGGGCCTTGGTTCCACTTGCTCCCAGCACAGCTTCTTAGCAATTACAATTGTACATGTTAAAAAAACAAAACAAACATAACCTGTGTCTCCTGTCTAACAGACTAAGAAGTTCTTGAAAGTCTTCAAGCTCACTTCTGCATTTTCTACTTCTACGTCCAGTGAGACTTTTATGTAGAAGGTCTCATATACTTTGAGGGGGAGAGTGAAGTTAGTATTTCCTAAATAGTGGTTCCCATGAGCCAGTTGAAAAATAAAAATTAGAAGACTGACATGTGTTGTTAACATTTTATTTTTCCAATTAAGGATATATAGAGAAAAGTCAACAACCAGCCATCTACTGCCATTGTTTCTTAAAACAAAAAACAAAACAAACAAAAAAACAAAACCCCAAAAATCATTGTATTATATTAGGGAAGTCATAACCTTAGAGTAAAGTATAGCTTTTTGCAGACAGTAAATGTATGGAAAACTCATTTTTTTCCCCATCTCACCATGGATGAGTGAAGACTTGATCGTGCCAATCA